TGTTTCATTATTTTCCTTAGAACGATCACACTCACGACTATTCCAATGAACAAGCCAATAACAGCACATATTAATACAATAGCTACCACACTGGTAAACAATCCATTTGGGTTAAAACTGCTACTTCGAGAAGAATTCCTACTGCCATTACTACGACTATTCGTATTACTTGCGCTAGCACAAAAAAAGATAATTACAGAAATAAAACCCACAATCGCTAGTAATATTATAAAAGCGCTCAAATAATAAACCTTAAATCCATTAATTGAGTGTGAAAATAGGTTTTTTATATTCTCATCTTTCTTGTCAATAGTCTTCAATAAAAATGCTAAGCCAAGAATAACTGATTGAACCAATAAAATAATTGCTGTTGAATCACGAATAACAAAGATATGATACTTCAAAAGTCTTTCTCGTTCAGCCTTTGGATCGCTTAGAACAGTTTCGATGATGTATTCGAATTGACATACATCACAAAACTTGAAACTTTTTCCACCTACATTTTCTGATCGCCAATCATTTAAACATTTTCTATGAATATAAGCTGAACCACCACTACATAAACATGGACTAATTATATCATTAGGATTATCATTATCCAAACATATTCGACATTGTTTTAATTGATTGTTTGCAACTGTCAGATCATCTTGGCTTTCTAACGACATGATTGAATTCCACTAAAATGCTAAAATACATTGAGAAAATTTTGAAATATTACAATAAGTTCTGTGGAAACCAGTGCTGCCACCTTTTGAAGTCCGAAAAGCAAAAACACAGCAGAAAATATGTTTATGATGTGAAACTAACGGGTAGCTCGCAATAAAAGAGGATCTCAATATTTTATTAACATCTTAAGCGTTATCTTATCGCTCACGCTTTATTTTTTTATCAAAAGATTCGCCGTCTGCTTCTGCACAAACTACATATTTCTTTCTCTTTCGACATCACCACGATTTAAAAACAGCACTACATACAATTTTCAAAATCTCTTTTTTTTTCAAATTTTTCCGAAAACATACAGTCTTTAGATTAGTCTTATTATCATTGATTGTACCATATTCTTTATCCAGAAATAAAATAAATTGTCTCTGGTACGTTGATTAAAATGAACCAATTTATCTCTTGATTCGCGAACAAATTATACCCAAAGTAACAGGATTAATTAAGAAACTGGAGATTTTGGAAAAAAATTGAAAAAAAATGAAGACTTTGAAAGTTGTGTGTAATGCTTGTTTTAAATCATGATGATGTTGAAAGAGAGATAAGTATTTTTTTTGCAGCGAAACATACCAATTTCTGCAGAATCAGACAATGAATCTTTCGATAAAAAAATAAAGCATAAGCGATAAGATAACGCTTAAGATGTTAACAAAATATTGAGATCCTCTTTTATTACGAGCTATCCGTTAGTTTTAAATTTTAGTTTCAATATACTAATGATTCGCATTGTATGGCATCACGAAACACAACTAATTAACAAATACATAGAATCATTGAACATGGTTTCTTTTTAAGGAGTATTCTTCATTTGATTTAAGAGCTTTTAACAAATCTTTTTTACCTAATAAATATTTATCCATTACAGTATATGATAAAGAGAAATTCAAAATAATTGTTGATTAAATCATAGCATTTAAAATTTTTTTATTTCTTATTGTTCATAGGATTACCAATGTTAGCTTTTTATTAGCAATGTTCGGAAAACTGTTGATAACGAACGATAAATGTTAGTTGAGACGGATTAAATTTATATTCTTTTAAAGATCATTAATATTCGACGACTTTGAACCATTCTCTGTTGAAGATAGCTCAATTCAATTTCTATTTTCTGGTTTAACTTCCAATGACATAATTATTACTTCAGCAACTACCACTGCTTTCTGAATACCTTCTTCGCTAGTCGAGCTGTTATTATCATCTAGAGCTGTTTTTTTTTCTGTTCCTTTCCTCTCACTAATCATGTTAATTATTCACGAATGACTATGAATTTATCTGGTCTATACAAAAATGGACCAGTATTTATATTTTTAACATAATAAAATACATGAGAGAGTAAGTCTACAGTAATGCCACAAGATTTAAAATAGTTTATGGTTGCCAAACACGCTCCAGTTGAGCTGGAAAACATATTAAAGGCATCAACACTTTTCTTAGCATGTATCAATTCTCTCTAACATTTACATCTGAGATACGAAATTGAACAAGAAGATTCTCAATAATATGAAAATTGCTCTACGGATATTTTACACAAATGTTGACTAGTTTCTCTATCTTAGAATCATTTTTCAATATCACCACGTAAGAATTTATTGTTCGCTTAATAATGACACATGATGTTTATTCGAGTGGTACAGGAGATATTTCGAAACTACTATAGTGACGGTGGTGACTTCTTTTTCAAGGAGATTGTAAAATTGCATAAATTTGCATTTGATTTGCATGTCTATAAGTTAAATTTTGGAATCATAGTGAATCTGATAGATTTAATTCAACTGTACTAATTTAGCACAGCTATGGAGGAGATTTTCAAAGAGTTTCTCGAAAACCATCGCGTCAACGGTAGGTTTCCAATCGTTATAGACATCTCTGGTATATATCTATTACAAAATATATTATTGTCATCAATGTAACATTTGAATAATAATATTGACATTTTTCTGTTAATATTTCATATTGTCAAAATTGTGTATATTCTATAACAAATTATTGCAACATCCAGTGGAATTTGATTGCATTTTATACCTATTTAATGTGTAAGGTATTGTATAAATGCAGGTAGTATAATGCTCTATAACATATTCAGTACATCAATGATGTTGCTCTTGTCAAAAATCAGTTTGAAACTTTTTTAAAATCATCAACTATTATATCGTATTCATAGTCTACATAATACTAACAATTAAATTTGAAGTTAAAATTATTTAATTATTAAGATAATGAAGATGTTATTAAATTTTCCTATCAATCGCGGGATCAATCATATTTCTATTATCAGATGCATATATTGTTAAACTTTTTAAATTTATCATTTATTTTAAATGAACATATCGATTATTAGAATATTTATTAATATCAGTTGTGTATATGAATGATCAACACATTGAATATTGAAGTATGTTAACATGGAGTTAATTTGACTCATCGTTATTAATCAAAGATTAGGATATTCATCAAATGAAAAAAAATGAGAGAAATGTTTTTATTTGATAGCATTTCTCTTTATCTTATAAATCTAATGAATAAATTTTATTTTCCATTTCTAGATTTAACAAAATTTTTAAACACAATTAATCAAATAAAGACTTACGGACATATTCGAATTAATTGGTCAAAACGATAATTTAATTGATCAAATCAATAAAAAGAAATACGTAGATGAAAATGAGTTGCTTAGAAATTTTTGTGATTCTGCTGTCAGATTAACAATGAATAAGTGAGACTAGTCGATATTATTAGTGCATCTACTAATCTTACGTCATAGCACAAAATGAAGTGAGGGTGTGGCTGTGGCCGTAGACATCTACATACACTGACAACTTTTGGATCTCTAGCCCCCTGAAGATATCGAAAAAATTTTTCGAAAGTGGCTGAAACTATCAAGTCAGCTACGACGATCACGAATATCGCAGTCGCAAATCTCATAAATTTGATGGTGAAGTACAAGTCAAGTAATTTTTAACGCTCTGTTCAAATATACCATTGAATGATACATAAAGGCTGAGAAGAAGTCCAAAACTACGCAGTACTCTTCACTCACATCGAAATTATTTCTCGAAGTAGCAATGTATTTTTCTGCAGAACAATCAATCACGTCCAACTCTCCTATTCATCTTTCGAGTAGTATTTTTCTGAAAGTATTATGCATTGTTCCATTTGTATGTTGCTGTGCAAAGAAATACAAGTAATGGCTTTCAATACAAAAACTATGCAGCCTTCTATTAATTTAAAAAACAAAATTATAAAGTGTTCTGTTTCAACATGTTGATTGCACATGGTAGATGCTTCTCGAAACATTTGCAGTCATAAAAAGTTTGTTTGTGAATAGGAATCAGATGTGTGTATTACAACATAAAAATGCATTCTCTGTCTTTTGAAACATGAATCATTATTTTCAAACGATCATCTTTGCGCTCATCATATTGCCAATATCTGTTCGATCAATTATTCTTGTACCTCCACAAAATATTAGAGTAACGTATAGCATCCAATGTTATTCGAGCAATACTCCCATAATACACAATGATTATCAACTATGTGCTTTTCGCGTCTATCGTACTAGTGACAGATTGAATCAACCAATTGAGTACACAATACGTGATGGTATTTGGTATACGAATACATTTCGACAATTAGTCAAGCGTTGCCACGGATTTTCACCAACATCTGATATTGGCACTGGCACATGTCCGCCGTTGCCTTATGAAACTTTTCAGAACATGACAATCTGTATTTGTGCGAAAAATCTTTGTAATATTGATTTGGCTACTTGTATGAGTTGGAACCGTAATAGTTCTTCCTTTCCACCACTGACACCTGTTCTGAGAGATTTGTCGAATCCTGTAGCCTGTTCTGAAATAGAACATCCATTACCGTTACCGAAGCTATGTACAGAACATCTATGGATTAACACTTTAAATTGCATGAATTACATTAGGAACAACAGTGTACTTTGCAGTATTGGTATAAGAAACGGTGTGATCACTCAAGAGACACTAGTTGCCGATAATTACGAACGAGTTTTGATCGAACAATACCGTGAAGCAGGCCTTCGCGGTAATGCTCTTAAGGTTAACTTCACGGAAAATTTTATGTTCTTTGCAAGCATCAATCTCTTTCCTGTAAACGCGATCTGTTTCTGCAACACATTCCCGTATTGTAATGCAAATAGCAGAACATGTCAATCAATGACACTCGAAAGTACAACTATAGTACCCATCACATCCAATAACTCAACAGCCGAAATCATTACAATCTCGACCGCTATTAACTATATCGATATGGTCTCTCCGGTAAACCTATTATCTTTGACAACTGCAACAACAAAATCCAAAGAAATCTTTGTTACACAAGTTGCTAATACACAAAGTAGGCTATCGTTCAATGGTATTTTCAGATCATTTGATTATTGTTTGTATTCGATCTAGTTTCAAAACCAAAACGAGGCAAAACAAGTTTCGGACTTGCGACCACGATTGGTATCATTTGTGGTATTAGTTTCTTGGCTTTGATCATCATTATTAGGATCGTCAGATTTCAAATGTACCGCCTCGATAGTCGTGGTATTTACAAACTTGTACCTCACGAAGCATAAATTATTGCATTATGAAGCAAAGTTTATTCGAACTCCGAAAAAGAGATATTTGCTTGATTTTTTTCTCATATAAGATTTGCATTAGACTAATTTCAACCATTAACGTCTACTTCATGGTAACTTTTATTTCTCCTATGAAAACTTTCAATATGTTCCTATTTCATAAATTCATATAACATACTATTGAGACTCGACAAAATGCAAGAAGCCACTGTTAGGAAACCCTGTTCCACTTGATTTTACCTACTGATAAATTTATCTGACCAGCATGGGTGTGCATGCGTTTGCGTGTGAGAACCAGATCCATATCCTAGTGCTGAAAGCTTTTCGAATAGAAGGCATTGAAGTGATATCAGTTGCCATATAATTGTTTTTGGATATTGCAACGGTTTTTCTAAGATCAATAAGAATTATGTTCTCGCACAGCATAAATCAACTTGATCAACAATGTTTTGTTCTATGTTGTATATACTCTCTAAAACTAGCTCTTTCAAACAAACAAAACAAGTACATCACAATCAAATACACTGTAACGATGCTCGATGAACAAAATTTTTACTTAGATGATTGAAAAAGTTTCAAATTTTACCACATCAAACTAATCTACACATATTTTTTAGTAGATTTCTCTGATTAAAAAGTAACTACTACAAGCATTGTAATTTTATTATTATTATTATTATTATTATATAGTATAATGTAGTTTCATGATCGAAATACCCATCTATTCACCGTATTATATTGCCCTTCGAGAGCTATTTTATAGAAGTTTGATTGATATCCTGTTATATCAACGATAATCATGTTGTTGTGTATAGGTACTGTTTTGATTAAATAGTAATTGTCTGTTATACCATCCTTAAATGAATTTGTAGTTGATAGCCATACTTTTACATTTCCAGTTGGATCTAAAACTGTCCAACTAATTTCTAAACTAACATCATACAACTTGACATTTGGTTTTATTAATGATACTTTTCCTGTCAATGGTACTCCATCTAATTCTCTTTCAGATTCAATTGGAATGTTAAGATTCATGAATTTTGCAATTGTTGGATATATATCAACTATGGCAGGTTGAAAACCATGAAAATAAGTATTCATTTCTTGACTATTTATAATTATCCAAATTGTTCGTTCTCTGTCAGTCTGATCATCATGTTCTTTGCCTGTTACTGGATCTCTGCCATGATCTGTCGTTATAATGATTATCCAATCTTCTTGATAATGTGTCATTCGGTAATTAATAGCTTCCCAAATTTGCCCTATTTGATAGTCAACATTAATGACTGCTTGTTTGAATTGTTCACTGTCACCAAACTTATGTCCTACGTCATCAGTATATTGTAAATAAACCCATGAAAGATCAGGTCCATAGATTTTGATACATGCTGAAGTTTCATTAGTCACACGTTGATCAATGTCAAAGATATAATGCTCATCTGGATCATGAGGATACATAATCTGATCGCGTTCGTATCCATCGAATTTATAATCGAATGTAATATTACCTGCTATGGCTGATCCTTCACCAATGAGTTTGATACGATTATCTATCCAAGTTGAGAAAATGGCAATCTTTTTATCAGAATAATGTTCTTTAAAGAGTCGAAAAATATTTTTATAATGGTAATTGGGAGCGTTAACATAATTATCATACACATTGTGTTTATTAGCCCACGTACCGGTGAGTAAATTCATATAACCAGGTGCTGAAACAGGAGGTGTTTGCGTATAAGTACCATTGTCACCTCCAATATAAGCTCTTGTATAGTTTCCAATTTTTTGAATCTTCTTCATGTTTGGAACTGCAATAGTTTCTACGACATCTGCAGGAATACCATCCACGATTATGAACAAAATTTTTCGGTTTGTTGGTTTTTGTTTATTTGATCTTTCGTCAACTCTGGCAACAACGACTATTATTGCAGTCATAGTGCCAACGGCTATTGCGATCAAAATCACTAGACTAAATATTGACTTCATTTTTTTATTCATGAATGGAAAACAATGTCTCTTGTCTATTCGAGGATTTTCTTCCAAATAACTTTGCACTGGAATTATTTGACTCATGATAGAGAATTTTTTCTGTTTTCAACGAATAAATTGTCTATGATCTAAAATGAAAACTGTCTTTTTTTATCACATTTGTCAAACGTCGAAAAAAGTCCTGTTGGATATATACGCTTTTTTTCGTTTCACAAAATGAAAACGTAAGCTTAAAGGAAACTATAGACAGGGAGAACGACATATAGTGTACAAAAGTCGATTGTTATTCGACTGTACAGACTGATTAATTCAATCAAACATTTGTCAACTTGGTTGTGTGCTCTTGATTTTGAGATGTTCTATGCAGGCCCCTCGAAAGTGAAGGGAAAGGTATATTACTCTAATACTTGTAAATCCTCCATTAATACTCATCAAAACAGTGCCAGAGATTATCGAATTTCGTACTATCTCTATGAAAATTTTCACTACACCCATACCCACACTCGCTATAAAGTACAACTCAACATTATAAAAGAAAAGAAGATATTTTCAATTGTTACAATGATATCGAACATTTGAGTTAAATCATAATAGCGTTTTTTGATCGATCGTGGAAGAATTTACATAGATTACGCAAATCTGGAGAACTACACTGTTGCTTCGTTATCAACTATTTATTATGTTTTTTTTTTTGGTTTTTTGTCTCTCTTTCTCTGATGCATGTAACTTTGCAAGGAACAATGGCAAAGAGCTCAGACTTTTATGTTGTTTAACATAATCACGTCAGAACGATGTATTTCTGTGATCTTCTAATTATTACAACCTAAAATATCTTATTCTTATAATTTTTCACAGTACTTTAATTATCGTAGCATAATCGAAGTAATGTGAATGAAAAGATTTCTTACTAAGTTTTTAAAAGAGATTGAAACATAAGAATGATTTAAGCTATTCAGCTCTCATGCTCAATACTAAAGAACAACAGATCAAACAACAGTCCACATCATTTTTTTTTGGCGAAACTTACCATTTAAAAGGTCTGTGAAATAGTAACAAATTCTTTTATAGCATTATTTTATCGATATATTAGTTACAATTGAGATATATATAATCTCCTATTAAGCATGATTTACGACTGTATGCCGTTGTTTATAACGTTTTATTATCAATGTATATCGAAATTACGATCGTGAATGATCCTTAACTATATTTTTACATACTTGATACATTGAGATATCAAACATTAGTGCATTGTTGTCGTAAATAATTATCTAGTATTTTATATGACCATCATATACAGTAGGCATATATGGTGATTCTCAATATTTGATGTTGTTGACGTTTAGCAAAACTTAAATCATTAAATATTTTTTTCAGCAAATGAAAAATAGCTAAAAGAACCTAGTACATATGTATTACACAGCAGAAGTCCTTTCAAAAAAAGTGAATTTCAGTAAAGAGTATAATCAAGCTAAGAGTATTAGAGTTAAAATCAAATCAGGATGTGGATGTCAGTCGAGCAACCATGACTTGTTTCGACCTTGCTTAAGGCTTTCATCAGATGACTTTGACTTATTATCTGTTTAAATGAGCCTTCAATCACCACCAAGTTGCAAAATCTAGACGTATTCTTCACACTTTCTGTAAGAAGATACAGTGGATATCGTTTCCCAATATAGAATCAATGCAGTATAATCATTATATCATCCTGTCTAAATGAATAATGAGATAGGTAGGGTTTGTATTGATCATGTTTATTATTGATAATCAGAAAACTGGTAACATGATCTTCCTGTTAACTGAAAAAATTTCGTTTTTTTTAGCAAGATGAATTTTATAAATTTTTTTGTCTCATAAACAGCTTAATCGACGAAATCGATTTTTATGATGAGTCTTTGGAGTGACTCTTTTTAATGGATCTTGCCGGCTATTTCTGCGCATGATCGAGCGTAATTCTGAAAAATATTACAAGTTTTTTTCCAAATGAAGATATAAAATGAATTTATTATCGCCAAACTGTATTCTCTGTGGTTGCATAATCACAAAGAGTTTTTCGTTTCTACATTGAAGGATTCGAAAGTTGTCATTGAGTCGCTAGTGCTCAGATGAACCTAATTACATAACTTATCATTTAATAAATCAAACAAATAAAAATTCCTTTCAATTAAATGAATATACTGATTTAATAAAATACAATTTATTAAATAAATTATTTAAAAAAATACTCATGACTTACCCAAGCTAAATATCAATCTTTAATAACATTTATATATTTTAATTGAGTGCAAGAACATTCTAGAAAAAATAAATAAAAATTTTATTATTCTAAATCAAATATATTTTATCAATGTTATCAATTGATTACAGACAATTCGTATAGAAATTCTTATTTTATCTCAACAAGAACAAACATATGAATGTGTATTAAATCGTTTGAATTATTTAAATGATAAACAATTAATTCGATTTATTGAAATATTAAATATGAATCCAACAATAAATAAATCTTTTTTATCTTTTAAACTATAGTCATTTATTTTTACTTTTATCGTCAGCACGATTTGTTACTTTTAATACAAATTGATCATTCACGATATTGAATTATGATTGATAGAGTTATATTGTAAACTTCTTAAATGCTGATCAGAAATAAAAGTCAATTGCAAATTAAATTCAAGGAATAAAATTCTATTTTACGATAATAAAAGCTTTTAGCACAATACCTAAAATATGAAATTGTGAAACACGATACAGACTGGAGGGAGCTCTACAACACTGAGTTCAGTTTGTCAATTCTAATATACTGTCAAGGCATTTCCGTGTTGAAAAACGTTAATCGTAATATATTACAAGGAGTTTGAAATGAAGGCCAAATGAAACGTACATTAAATTCAATCATTTTTCATAATAATCCCATAATCGAGTTCATTATCGTTTTTATGTCTACCACAGTCTATCATGTAATGATGTAACCATTAAAAAAAATTGATGGGGGCTAAGTCCCTCACCTGTTTACCCCACACCTGTGATGATGCCTTAGTCATGCCTGTCGCAATCTGTGAAAACTAAGCCTGAAAATCATAGTTAATTCGCAAGAACGAATATTCCCTCATATGAAAAAAGATCATTAATCTTTTATTGAGGTAAGTATCAATGTAATAGTATAGAGATATTGATAAATATGAAATTACTTGGTTATTGATGAGTAAGCACGTTTGTACTCCACCATTATGCATGACATTTCAATCATTTATCGAATACACTGTTAAAATATTTTCTCATTCTTTGATTTTAATTCTAAAGAAATTCAGAAAAATCAGTCCTGTTACTCAATTCAGTAGAAAGCACATATTTTCATCGTTTTTAAATTGTAGAATGACTTCATAGACATTAGATTTAATCGAAATTGCATTATTAAATTTTGCAGTAAAGAAATTATATTAATATTTTTCTTGGTCTATGTTTTAGAAAGATGAAATTCATTATGTTATACAGATTTATTCTATTATTGACAACAAAAATAATTTCAGTTTCAATGTTAGTGTGTTATAATTGACCACTGAAACACTATGATTATCTGATAACACTGAATAATATTCCTATATTTACTAATTGTACAATAGATACAACAACAGAAAAGTTTTGTTCACCGAATATTTATTCTTATGATAATGGAAAAACAAGTGAATTACGTGCAAGTACAAATATGGGTTATGAACGTGCAAATGTCTCTTATATTTCAACTGGATTTGATGTACCTAATAGTTACGAATACTCGAGGCAACAATCATTGAAACATACAAACCTCGTCAATTGTCATTTGTGAGGAATCAGCTTGCATCAACCAAAGCGTTATTATGCTCATCATATTCAAAATTTACAAGTATTGATGAATGCCGTCCACCATTTCGTATTCGTCAATCATCAAATGCTGAAGAACCTTGTTCAACATATTGTGTAACAGCAATTAAAATTGATTCAGTAGATTTACAGATGGAAAGAATATGTTCATATTGTGAACAAGAACCGAAAGAACGATTTCAATATATATTGATGAAAGAATACATTTATTAGATAAACGAATTAGTTATTTACAACAACTAGATTATCTTTGTAATTCAAGCAACTATTGTAATTCATTAGAAAATATACGACAAATACAACAAAGATATAAAATTACATTTGAGTTTGATATATTCTTCCGTTCAACTGGTACTACGATCATCACTCTATCCAACAAGTCACAATTCATTATCTATTTTTTTGTTATTTTCTTCATTTTTCTCCAAAAACAACTATAAAACTACAGAACTAATCAAAAGACTAGCTTGACCTCATGATTATTTTTCTACAAATATATGTTAGAGTTTTACTTTTTTCATCGACTATTTACTCAAGCAATTAACACGTTTCTTCAATATGATCATCCTAGTGTTCTATTGTTTTTTTTCGCCAATATATTCCTATATTGATTAAATATACTACTAACAGACTTTCCATTTATAGTTTTTGTCGAAACCAAGATTCAAATATTTTTCTTTGTTCTATTTCAACAAGTAAAATTTCATTACAAAGACAATGTGAGTGTGGGTATTGATTCGGTTGGGTGCACCTCACGCCTACCCACACCCCTAATAGTACATATTCTTTTGTTCAAAATGAATAATAGAAAAACAGAAGTCTTGCCATTTGTTTAATCAGAAAAACAAACAACGTAGATATGTGATTGGATGAGCACAGTCTTATGCTCGAAAATGTCTTCGAATTATGTTCTCTTTGATTTCTCTATCAGTCCATGCATTACTTATCTTAGTAATGAAGGTCTCTTATTATAAATATTGATTTAAAGTTGTCTATTTCGGTCAGTTATTGGTGATCGAAACCAATCCAATTGTGGATATCTTTCAAAGACAATTGAAAGATAACAATTTGGATAAAGTGGAAAGATATTGTATTCATCGGTGATATTGCTCAATGGTCCATTTGTTGATGATGATGTTTGTAGAAAAGCTAATAGAAGAAAAGAAATTAGAAATAATATAAAATATGTCTGATAGTATTCTTCAAATATATATATATAAGTATCATATAAAAGCCAAAAACCACGCCAAAGAAATAGACACGATGTAAATGCCAATAGATGACGAATATTACGATAGAATTGTGGAAAATTAATTGAAAAAAATGTCCAAAATTCATATTTTAAATTTAATTCTTCAAAATATGTTTGAAAATACATTAATGGAAAATAGAGAATATAACCAATAAGTAAACATAAACCAACTGACATTGCAAAATTATCTGGATATAAATGCTTATCGAGAAAATGATAGAAACCACGCCATGCTATTAATGCTATATTTGATATGATAATTTCGTATAAAATATAATTGAGCAAATTTATTTTCCATTGATTCATCTTTAATAAATACAATAATCAAATATTTCAATAGAATTTTCTATTATTCGAGATAAATTAGAAATGAAAATATTTATATACCTGTCTTGTTAGAAGTGGACAACCAAATTGTAAACAATAATCAATTGAATCATAACTCATTAGAAATGGTGCACAGATTAAATCAGATAAATGTCCAGTAAATACAATCAATGCAAAGATTGCTGAAAATGAAAGTGTCAATTCAAAATACCATTCATGAGGTGTATATTGATCCCAAAATGTCCATAACATTACCCATTGAACAATATAAATCGATGCTAATCCAAGAATGTGCAGTTTCAATAGAACATTTTGTAGAAACCAATGTCGTTCCTTTAGAAAGTTAAAGAGAAAATCTTGAACAAGATAACATATGAGTAGATAAATCTGTGAAACCGCATATGCAATCGATAACGACCGTGCTGAATAATTAGCATGTTCTTCTAGATTAAATTCTTTCAAGTATAATGTCAATGGAAATCCATTTAAATGATTCAAAAGAATCAATGTTAAATTCCAACCACATTGCCAGAAAAGAACAAGAATTGGAAGTACAAGTAAACCACTGACAATTGGCTGGATAAAGAATAAAAATGTACGTCGTCGTTGAGTGATTGATTCTTGATCGGATTCAGTGATATCTTCCTCATTAATAGTTTCCTCTAGTAGTGGATGCCTTTGAGATATCATCGATATTTGACGTCTTCGCATAGTTGCATTATCTTGTTCGGTTGCTTCTGTCAAAAAGAGCTGTTGAGGTACATCGAGACCATGGGGTGGAACTAGTGATTGTGAATGATATTCAGTACCGTATGGCAGATATATTTGTGATACACTTGATAATCGATGTTGAGCATTGATACATAGACTAGAACGGTGATCATGTTCTTCTCGCATAATAATAGGGTGTGCTGCTGACTGTCGTCGACTCATCATTTGTTGTACTCGTTAGTAAGTTTGAGTCATATCTCTTCTCGTTCACTTTCAAATTTATGTTCTTTTGATTGATCGCCTATATGCAAGGAGCAAGATTGAATCCATTCTTTTTACAAGTAGCCAATAGCATAAAGTATTTTATAAGACCTACTTTTATGATTGTTCTATCTATAATAATGGAAGATAATAAAACAAGACAATGATTCGTATATGTTTTCGCTTAGTTCAGCAAATCGTTTCAGGAAATCAAAAAGACATTTATATATAACTTGTCTAGAACGATCAAAATTAAGAGATGACAACATGCACTCACCTAAAAGACATTTCAAACGAATTTCAAGTCGAAGATATTTGTTATTTACACAACATTGTTCGAAGTGACACTACAAATATGCTAATTTCTCACCAGAATTTCGTCGTTATCAAATCAGATTGTTTAAAAAAATGTGTTATTGACTTATTGTCATCAAGACTAGGAGACATTTAAACAATCCCGATTCAATTCTAATGAAAGCTATGTCCTTATTGCTTTGACAACAGATGAGTCTAGGAGGAAGTTTGCTAGTTGGGAAAGATGTTTAAGTGAGCCTTCATGAAAAAACCGATCCGTTTGGAATACAGTGTACACATGATGGCTTTTTATTTTTCGCTTTGACTATGCAGAGTGGAAGCTCCTGTGATACTAAACTGAAATCTAAAGTATTAGAATTCATTGACGTAATTATCAAAAGTTACCAGGCGAACAATGTTGAGATTTCTCGCCAATCCCAACGAAATCGATGATTTTTTTGTATTTTTGTATTATCTTCAAAATTATAAGGTGGTGAAAGCCATCTAATATCTTAAATGATGAAGCGATTATTGCTCTACATAGTTGTGTATTTGGGCTCGTTTTGCTACATCGCAACATCGAGCTACAGCCAGCTGAACTTGTACTAGTTATGCCAAGACACACATATATATATATATATATATTGTCATGTCTTTTCAACTGAAGGTAATCTGAATCAATAGATCTCAGATATCTGATGTGATATTCTTGTAACCTGAAAAAATTCTGCATCAAATGAGGAAAAGTCGCTTCTCTTCTCTTTCGGTTTCATTCCATCCACATATGATATCTCCCTAGAAAACTGTGAAAAATTACCACTAGAATGACTTTATAGACTAAACAACTCTTTGCAAAAGACAGAACACCTGAGAATCCTTGTGAATTCATTGAAATTTTTGCATTAACTGACTCTAGGCCTAGATAGCATTGAAGTTCATGAGCCCATCGAGAAATCGAACCACCCATTAAAATTTAATTTTTTGATTGGATATTTCCATCTTAATCAGCATCATCTAAAACATAGATATCCAAATTTTTAATACATTTTGCCCGACTGATAAAAAGTTAGTCAGATTGGATTTTCGAATATTAACGAGGTTATTTCAAGAATATCATCAAAAATCGTTTATGTAAACTTGACCTTTTTAAAATGATAATAAATTAATGAAATTTTTCGTATAATATACCAAACGATAGAACATCGAAAGCTGAACAAAATTAGTTATTTACATATTATATTTCAATGGAATGATTGATTGAGAGTTATTTGTCTTTCAAATATTGTTCATGACTAGCGATTTCTCAAGCTAAAAGTGTACTAATTGTTAATAGTGTATCTACTATCACTCAGTCACTGTAAGAGTCTTCAGACTGAATTTCACATATATTGTGCAGCTTTTTCTTTTCTACAAAATGATTAAAAAAAAGTTTGAAAAAATAGTTTTTCATCGAGGTGAAAAATGGTTTACACTGTTGACCAATACGAGAGTAAATATAGGAAAAATTTACTATAGATGCTTTTTTTCTAATGAAAAATGAAACTTTCAGTACAGTAGTGAAGTATCCAGAATATTTTCCGCATAACTACGACATATTTTAATGAACAAGTATTCTATACAAAATAAAAAACCAACAATTGTTACCTTCTATGGATATCAGATCAATTTGCTTATCTTAGAATGTCATAATGTCATTCGAAAATATATACGAATTCCAGAAACAAATCGAGTGAACTAAATTTTTGTTTTCTTTTATTTGAAAGTATTGCCTGTTCAAATGTAATGCTGTATACATGTGAGTGAAGAGGAATATCGAAAGAAAGAATTTTTCGTTAGATATATGTGCTCAATTTTATGTTGTATAGAATACGTGTTCATTAAAATATGTCGTAGTTATGTGGAAAATACTCTAGATACTTCATACTGTACTGAAAGTTTCATTTTTCATTAGAAAAAAAATATCTATAGTAAATTTTCCCTGCATTTACTCTCTTATTGGTCAACATTTGAGTCGTTTTTCGCTTAATCTGAAGACTCTTACAATGATTGAGTGATACTAGATACACTATTAATAATTAGTACACTTTTAGCTAGAGAAATCGCTAGTCATGAACAGTATTTGAAAGACAAATAACTCTCAATCAATCAGTCCATTGAAATATAATATGTAAATAACTAATTTTGTTCAGCTTTCGATGTTCTATCGTTTGGTATATTACACGGAAAATTTCATTAATTTATTATCATTTTAAAAAGGTCAAGTTTACATAAACGATTTTTGATGATATTCTTGAAATAATCTCGTTAATATTCGAAAATCCAATCTGACTAACTTTTTATCAGTTGAGCAAAATGTATTAAAAATTTGGATATCTAGGTTTTAGATGATGCTGATTAAGATGAGAATATCCAATCAAAAAATCAAATTTTGACCCATGTCTCGTATAGTGGGATGATCCTCGGTCTTCTCATAGACGCTTTCTTACTAACTTCTCAAGGTGCAAGGATCAGGATGTCAGAACTTTTTTAACAAGTGATAAAACTAAATCCAAAATAGACTTACTATAGAAAGAGAAATATTCATGCGAATAGACAAAAATATCGAAATTGCAGATGTTTTGACTCATCAAGAAACAATTTCGTAAGATTTCAATGTTTTCTGAGTTGATTGAAGTTCGCAAAAAAAAACAAAGCTTTATCGTATTTTAGTACTTTTCCATTTCTCGACCGTACGAATAGAACTTTTTGACAAAAAAAAGGGTTTAGAAAAAAAGAGGACGATTGGCAGACCAAATTTTTTACCAATGTCGTGCCATTTCTGATTGTGTCTGTGTCATCATCGTTCAAATGAAATCTACACAGATCACAATTGAGCACATGATGACAACGACGATGGTGATCGTGAATAACAGGATTCTGACTCATCAACAATGCTTTGCATTCATGCTGATGACTCATATAATGAAAACACAAGTATACATCACTGTTGCACGTGGCCGTTAATGGTGATGGATGAATACAACCATGCACTCGACAAGTTCATGTGGAGATCGAGTAACAAGTGAAAATTTAGACCAGTAAACAGGAAAGAAATATTTTGTTACAGCCGTGAGCGCTTTCACATTACAAGCAAAATAGATGATCGCACAACACAAACGTTTTTAATATAAATAGTGGTAGAAACATGTGCAACAAAAAAAAGCTAAGGTAACGATTTGCCGTGCGGCGATAAAACGAGAGGAGAAAGAAAGAAAGAAAGGAAAAAAAGACGAAGAAACAACAAGGCACGAAGAAAGAAAAAGAACGTAGACGAGACGTGAGTCGCACACTCGCTATCATGTTGGTACTGGTGACCAATAGTAGCTTTCCTATCGAATGTCAGTCGTGATTTTGGCTGTAACTCTGAAAATTTTAGGTAATAATAATCGACTAAAGCCGACGTGTTTCTAATGATTTTATTGATGATATATAGATGTCACTCGATGTACAATTTCATATTAACTAATCATAGCATTAGAATAACTTCGGCCTTCCGCTTTGGTTTCGATTGATTGTTATTACCCGGATTTTTTTTTTGTTCATCTATTCCTCACACAATGTGAGTCAACAACATAAACTCTGACTCGATTGCTTGAGTAGAAAATGAGTTATGATGAGTAACTCATCTTGGCCTGTATTAAAACGTAATGAGTCACATAGCCCATTTCTGACGTTAGACTCTAAGCTGCGAATCAGTTTAATAGAGAATAAACGAGACAGAAATAGTTGAAAGCAATAGACCAACGAAAGCGCAGCGATCACTATGATCATGAAGACCTAAAAACAGAAGAATGACTATGAAGAAATTAACAGTGAGAGTAAAAAAAAATGATACGCTATCGATCTATCGATGATCAATTATATTTGTTAGTCATCATTATGAGGAAAAAGAAATTATGTTATTCCTTCAACGGATATCGATTTTCAAGACTATCACTATCATTTCTATTTTCGATCAATATCGAAACGTGACATCGTTTGATCATATTGTTTCGTATGGTTTTATTCTTGATCGATTTATTCATCTATAGTCGTCCTTTTGCACATTCCTCTACGAATGAAAATCAACACAATCGCAACAAAAACTTATTAGGATGTGGGTGTGAATGAGAGTGTAGAACAGATTCGCACCCACACCCTACTCAAGTTCAATGCAAAAATAAACAACAATTAGAAATATTCATGAATCTCTCGCAATTGTCGACATCAAAATCACTAGATCTCTTAAATAGCTTTATTACTTATTCAAAAATTGTTATATGCATAAGCTTCTATCAAAAGTCATTGTTATCTTGGTTTCATTTTCAGACAAATTAATGATATCTAATGTCATTAAAGTTGAAACAAAAACAAATTTGATTTTTGCTGAATAATTAACTGACTTTTACCGATAAATTGCCATTCAATAGCAGTTCAACTATGAAAGATCAAACATTGTTAATTAAAAGCATGAGCAAAATTTGAATATCCTGGTTGATATAAAGTTTCTTTTTTTCGAAAAAAAACAGCACATTGATTATTCAGCTCTACAAGGTAGATTGTTTAAATTCAAAATGTTAATACAATTAGCAAACTATCAATCGATATTATTACTCATTCGTGTTGAAAAATATAACTAATATAAAATGTATCAATGTTCGGTATCTATTGAAAATCAGAATTGTCATTACATTGACTCTTACAATCACTCTGAAAAACTATGTGGAAGCCTACAACATTTATCAAATCTTTTCATTTGCAGAGCAAAAAAATACGAGATAAAATTTTTCCTTTTTTACTAGTAGATAATCCTTACTCTATCCTAGATATTCTATCAATATTATCAAATTTGACCACCATCTCGAATTATGAAAATTATTCTCATAAAAAGATTTAATTTTTCAATACGTCCCGAGTAAGACTCTTCTGTTTTTCAAGCACATTTGCTTTTCTAACATCAAAATTATTTCATGTGCACAACCCTAGAATAAGCAAATGTAAAAAAAAATAAATATCGAGCCATTGATAATCAATAAATTTCTACAACAAAATAATTAGAATCTCTGTTTTTGTTGCACACAATTGGTTGATAATTTTCAATCCGTAAAAATAAATAATAATGAATTTCATGTATTCCTTTTTATACAGAAAAACAAACTCTGATAATGTTTTACTCTTAGAATACAACAAGAGACGAAATTGAAAATACAAATATATACACAAGTATTAGATAGGAGATTAATTGCTCTTGTTTTTATTATATCAACATCTTGTTTAAGCAAAAATTTAAGAATAAATAACAAACTTCTCGAAAGAAAAGAACAAAACATTTTAAGAAACACAAACTGTGATTTAGTAAAAGAAAGAAGAATATTTTTTGTTAAATGTAAATTCTAATAAATGCATCGATTCCTCGTCGACATATTGGGCACGATCGCAATGAATGACCACATGCGACACATGTTGCTACGTGACCACATGGTATACTAGCTAATTGTTTTTCTTCTGTCAGACATAGAACACAAAGATTCGATGATTCTGAACTAGTTGATTGACTTCGATTATTGATAGTAGTTATTTGTTTATTTGTTTGCGTTTCATGTTCATTCTTATTGCTTGTTGATTTTGATGTAGAGATAATAGAAGATTGAGAAGATGTAGATTCATTTGTTAATGATTGCGATGATACAGTCACATTAATATCTGTACGATTTTGTACGGATTGAGTTGTATTAGATGCAGTTGATGTTTGTTCAAGTATTCCTTTCTCTAGAAAATAAGAACATAGAAATGAGAAATATACCTATGACAAATTTACCATTTTGTTCTCGAATTTGTTTCATTTTTATACTTGGTATAACAATATTTTCTTTTTTACCATCAATATGTTCGATTTGTTTTTGAAGGATTAGACAAGCAACATACAAATCACCGTTGGATAAAAAGTCATCATCTAAATGAAATATTCAAAAAAGAAATATATAAAACAATATTTTATTGATTAACGCACGTTTTATTCGTAATTGATCTTCCCAACATCGTTTAATAGTAGATAATTTAAAATTTTGATCTAATAAACGTTGTGACACCGGTAAATCTAATCTTGCGGCGACGAGTCTAGATAAAGTACTTTGATCTGGTATTAATAATTGTCCACTATTTGCCGTTACATTAGTATTTACCAGATCATTTGAGCCTGTTCTTTCTTTTAATTCATTAGCTCTAGTACGTTCTACCAAAGAAAAAAAATGTATCAATTTTAACGAAAAGTTTATAATTTTTTCAAACTTACCTTGTTGTATTCGTTTAGATTCTTGAATTTTACGATATAATTCTTCACCACACAATTGTTTAGCATATCCACAATATGGAAACCAACGAGCATGTTCAATCATTGGATTATCATTTGAACCCCAATTTTGTAATGATCCATTACAATAAAAGCAAGTAACAATGGTTTCTGTACATGTAAAGAAAAATCCTGCTCGAACCAAATTATCCACCGATGGTAAATCTACATTTGGCCAAGTAGCGAATGATGCATAACGTTTTGGTATTTCAGAATAAGCAGGATTACATGATGCTCTAAATACAATATCACTAGGCCGTAATGAACTGAGATTATTTGATATTGATGAAGAAATGCCTGTTGTTGTTGTCGATGAATTTTCGTTGACAATAATTATTGATGAAGCTATAGGACGAATCAATCTTGTTTTGACATATATACAATTAGCTGATAGTGTTTTATGTAATTCACACGGGTCATCTGTATGTGGTGTCCATTGTTGACAAATAAGATTACAATAGATACATATTACTCGATCACCAACATTGCAATTAAAAAATCCAGCTTCAATCATTTGTGCACTTGATGGAACAGTACGATGTGGCCAGTGAGAAAAGGTACGTTTTCGCACTTGTTGAAGTGAATCATTTTCAAGAAAACTATTTGATATAGATCGGAAATCTATTGTTTCTATTGTTTGATGTTTAGAAATATTTTCTTCTGCAGTTGATACAGCTGCATTTTGAGTACTAGTTGTTGGTGATATGGAAGACGAAAGTACATCTGATGATGAAGTTGGTACTCTAGAGAGTACGAATGGACAATCAGGTTGATATTTCGAATGAATAGTAAATGGATTCATATCTAATGTCCAATTATATATCTCAAGTTGACAGTCTTTACAACGAGCTGTATCTCCATCACCTGTATATTCAAAACCGGCAGCAATCATAGAGTAGACAGCATGAATGCCTGGCCTCTTTATTGATTTAACTAGTGTTTGAATTCGATTAATGATAATAGCAAGAGTTTGAGAACCTTGTTTTTTCTTATCGAATTGTCTCGATGAATCATCCATTGATTTGTATTTATTAGATGCATCATTCAAAATTTCGATTGGAAATTTGGCTTTGCTCGACATTTGGCTTTAGCTATCTGATTAAATCTAAAGAAGATATTATTAAAAAATGAACGTTGGATTCATAAAAATTTCGAATAGACTGTAATCATTCAAACGATCTCACCAAGTATCTCTTAAAGCATAAAATGGCATCTAATTATTAAAAAGGACAGAACTGGACATAATACTAAAACTCGATTCAGTGAGAATTTCCATTTAAAAACATCTCAGTCATCAGTAAAAAGTTTGCCAACTTGTTTGGTAACGTTTGTTTAGTGAGACGAAAATGATTTGGGTATTTATAGCTCATTATATAATCGCTATATGACACCCATAAAATTATTTCTGATGGAAAAATTTTCCTTCTAGCAATGATTGCATCCAATACATATATACTAAACTTTATTGTAATCAATCTGCAACTATATATAAGTTGACGAAGAATACCTAAGATATGTTATGATAGAATGGGAAATTTTAAAAAAAACACATTTGTGAGCATCAAAAACGATACTTCTTGACTCAAACAGCAGTGTTCGAGATTTCTTTCATAAAACATCAAGTTTTGGAAATTACCAGGAATTTCGATTTAGTAATTTCCAAAAATGTATTTTGTAAGTTCGGACTTCGCTATGAGAATGAAATTCTATGAATTTCGGAGAGAGTTATAGAAATTCCTATGAAGTTTCTAGCTATTGTTGATCATATGTACCTTCTTCACGTTAGAAATTTATGACAAGATGTAAATTTCATTTTTCGAAAATCTAAACATACATTGTCTAAGGAGATCTATGAGAGATCTACATGAGATGAATTTCATACTTATACCACTAAAGATATAAAAAAAAGATAAAGAAATATCAAAAATAACAATATTTTTACTTCATTTGGACAATCATAAGGATGTGTGTAGAGCCCATTGAATTCAAAAACTTCTGGAATTGGACCTGATCGATTAAAATTTGTTAGACTCGAAACCATCTAGTTAATTTTTTGACCCGAACTCAATGATACGAAGGTTTATAGACAATAGGCTGAAAAAATTTTTCGTCTTTATTTGTTTTTTGGTATCGATATGAGGTGGAAATATTCGTTCCAGTAAAAACTACAGACATTCTCATCCATAAATCACATATCCACATTCACATCGACACATAAACTCAAATCGTCACTCCACATTCTCTTTACTGAAGACTGAGTAGTTTTTATGTGAAAATTCCGTTAATAGATTGATTTGTGATCTTATGTTTCTTGTCGTTTATGCTCACAAATATTTGAAGAATGACTCATTTTCAATTATACGTCTTTTAATAGAGTGGGCTGCTCATACGTATCCGAAGACAAACTATCATTTCTTGGAACTAACAACTTTCTAACGTCGAGTTCGTAGACAATGGAACAATCTTTTATCAAAATGTAAGCTCATTTCTAGAGAAAATAGCTGCATAAACTCTATTATTTTATTATTATCGAAAATGTTATATTGTCATACACCTTACGAAAAGATTGTTGAAAATTGATTTTCACCTATCTCAAAAATCCACATTATTCATAGAAAAATTTGATTGATTTATTTCCTACTAGTATGTCGTCGAATGTCGACAAAAACCCAGACGGAATATTAGTAATAAAAACAACATGAAGTAATTACACGTTATATTGGGAAATTTCCAAGTGTAGACGGCAGAACAATAAAAAAAATATTAAGCTACACAGATATATATATTGTAAAGGGTATTAAAAAAGATAACCATTAGCGAATCTTCGGGTAATATGATGCAATAGATGAAAGCAATACGATACAAAGAAAAATCTAAGTTGTAAATTATTAAAATGGGCTCAAAAACAATTGCTAAAAATAATTTGGACAGTGTAATTAACTCTTTAACGAATGAAATAACGAATATTTTGTCTATTTGAAATATAATCGAACGTCACCACTATCAATGCAATCTGAAATGTGTTGAGTTGATGGTACATACAGACTTGATGAAATATCTAAAAGAATTTTGTTTGCAAAAAAAGAAACTCAAAACACGAAGAGATAAAGAAAACAAATCTATAAATCTAATGTTAAATTTCACTAAAATAAAATTCTGTACGTGATTGAAACTTTTCATTGTGAATAATCCGAAAGAGAAACTTCATTTTTCATATTGAAATCATCAAATTCTCTATGGATCAATTACACATCTATTAAATTATTGGCAATACCGAAGGTTTAAATTCAAATCAAATCAAATTTTATCAATCAATATTGATAAATCCTCTACTTTTTGTGTAAATATTTATCTGATTGCTCGTCACACTTTCTGTTTTCTTTATGTAATTTGAATTAATCAATCTTTGATTCGATAACATTCGATGATAATTTCAATAGACTTTCGAATCATTAACTTGATTTTTAATCTTTGACCCGGTTTTGTCTCTGATTGCGATATCTTTCGGTGTTTACAGACTCTTTTCTTTTCTATTCAATGACATGAAAAGCCAATCTTCTTACATTGTCTTTCAATGATAATTATGTCATTATATTGATGAGTTGAATAAATGGAAAACTGAATATTGTATTGCATCTTTTTATTAAAGTCATAGACCATTCACTTTTTCTCGTGAACATAAAGTTTTACTCGAGAAAACAAAAATTTGCTTTGTCATTAGATGCGTTAATTAGTAGACAAAAAATATATGGATAGATGACTTATCATATTCAGCACTATGTATGGGGCGTCTTCGATATATCTGTTAGAAGGAATAGTAGTGAAAATATAGACACCTTTAGAATGAACTTCGTTTAGAAACATGAGCTCTAAATGATCTTTTTTTGTGTATAGTAGCTTGCGACCAGACGAAGATCATTTGTCCTTGAAAGTTTACGACGAGGACATAATTGGCAAAGATGATGTTGGTGAAACTAAGATTCGCTTGAAGAAACTGGAACAAGCCGGTGAACATTTGGACGAATGGATTAATTTGCCAACTACTTTTGGTCGTGCTTCGAACGGTGAAGTCCACGTCATTATGCGGCTTAGTTAAGAAGTTTTCATTCTAACAAATCATTGCGATCAAATGAATAAATATTGATTGTATTGGTACATACTTTTCTATTAATCTTTATTTCGTACTTAGTAGACTCTTCCATTTTGTCCAATATTCACCAAATTTTATTAATCAAGAAAAATATAATTACTCAACACACTCACTAGCTTTACATAATTTCAGAGGATACGTTTTTTTTTCGCAAGCTAATCATTGTAACATTGGATAATTGGGAAAGATGATCACAGATGAGTGTTCGCCTATGCTTAACTTCTTGTCGCATTCATTAAAATCTTACAACTTACGAAAATTCGATTCAACAGTTCATTTTAAAAATATCAGCCTCAGAAGATTATATTACAAGTCAGTTTAGCGCATGTTTGATGATGAGTACAACTTTACAATGAAAATAGAGTGATTTTTAAGTGTGAGTGTGGGATGCAGGTGTGTGAATCTTCTTTTCACTGATACCCACCCGCACCCTCAAGATGATAAGCTGATTCAAGATCTGTAACATAGATAAATGTCCATCACTGATCTCTGTTAATCGATGAAAACTGCAGACGGATAACTACGTGATTTCTTTCGCAAGATATTCAAATTTATCTTTATATTTGCTGTGAATATGAATTGTTATGACTAAAGAAACAAGTGAACATCCAATAAAATAAAAATTCAATCTATAAATATCTCAACGATTATGTTTCAATATCCGCTGTTTTGTCCATGTGTGCTTTTTAAAAATTTATTTGTCAATATGTTTGATGTATTCAGGAAAAGATATTAATGTTTATTCTTGTTTTGCTGTAATTCCTTCACCATTACTTCGGACATTTTGAATTTTTGTGCTTTACCCGTTGGTGTCATAATGAATTTGTCTACAATTCGTATATGTGTTGGTATTTTGAAGAAAGCTAGTCTATCTTTAAGAAAATTTCGAATATCTTCTACTTGACATTTCGGTGCATCAGGTTTCAATCTAATCCAAGCACATACTTCTTCATCGTATCGTTCATTTGGAATGGAAAAAACTTGTGCATCTGCTACATATGGATGTTCAGTAATGGTATTTTCAACTTCAACAGGATAGATTTTGACACCACCACGATTAATAATATCTTTTTTACGTCCGACAAAATAGACATAACCATCTTCGTCCATTTTACCCTCATCACCCGTTCGAAGCCATCGCGATGATGTAATGGTCTCTTTTGTTTTTTCGACATCACCATAATATTCACGCATCACTGAATGACCTCTTGTCTGAATTTCACCGGATTTACCAATGGGTACTGCATTGCCTTCTTGATCGGCGATTTTTATTTCTAGACCTGGCATCGGTCGTCCGATTGATGAAAGACGTCGCTGGACATCTTCATCACCAGCCCACATACTACAAGTTATGACACCAGCAGTCTCAGTCATTCCATAGGCTTGTGCCATACGTGTGATTGGAAACTCTTTTTCTAATTGACGCAAAAAATCGATATGCATTGCACTTGCTCCTGACAAACCGAAAGCCAATGAAGTAAGATTGTATTTTTTTCGATCCGGATGCATTAATATATCACGAAAAATAATCGGTGCACCAATAAGTGCAGTACATTTTTCTTCATAAATAGCACGCATAGTAGATACTGTATCGGGTAGAATAGCTGGAAAAGTGATATGACATTTGGCAACTGCTGCATTGAGGACACCGACTATTTCTGAGAAAATATGAAACATTGGAATAGGAACACAAAGACGAGTAATAAATTGACCAAAATGTTCCCATTGACTACGAATCAAATTGAGCACACCAAAACTGGTCAATGTTGCAGCTTTCGGTTGACCTGTAGTTCCAGAAGTGTAGAAGATTTCAAAGGGTGCATCAGGATCAATCGATGCTTG